TTAAGGCATGTTTCTACAGACTTACGATATTTCTGCTTTCTTCTAATTACATTAGAAAACAGAGATCCTGAAAACCAACTATACGTAATTGCCTAGAGCCCAGATTTTGTAAAAGTGGCACATCTTACCCCACTCTCCACAACCTTGTTGTCTCTGCCTGATTTGCTCAGAGTCTCTGTTCTTCAAACAGCCATGTGTTTATGTTGTTTGCATGTGTTTTCTTGTATTTCAGAGCTTCAGCATGTCTGTTCCTGCCAGTGATGATGGTGGTGTGTCTCGCCATCTGATTGCATGTGCCGATATAATATGCAAATATGGTAGATGTGTGCTGGTGGACGGGAAGCCCACCTGTGAGTGTAAGCTGGGCTACATTGGAGACAACTGTAACGAAACAATCAATGACGCTCTGTCTGTGCCGCTCACCCTCGGCGTCCTGGCTTTCATCATTGGCTTTATCATCCTGCTCTTTGGGATAGCTTTTTTCCAGCAAAGGCAAAAGGCGAAGAAGAGGTGAGACTGAGATCTTTTTTTTTTTTATCATTTAAATCAGGATTACATAAAAAAATGCAGTTCATGCATACAGTGGAATGAATACACCTGTTTTTAATTTGGTCAATGTGAATAAATTAAAGAAAAAGCATAAACAATAAAAGTATCATGATGAGGAGTATATCATATAGACGGTTTGTTTCTTCATCAGATTTGGAGAAATGTAGCATTAAATGACTTGCTCGCCAGTTTATCCTCTGCAGTGAATGGGTGCCGTCAGAATGAGAGTCCAAACAGCTGATAAAAACATCACAAGGCATTCATTGATGGACTGGAGTGGTGTGGATTATCGTGAAGTAAAAAGCTGAGAGTTTGTAAGAAACAAATCCATCGTTAAAGCATTTTTTACTTCAAACCATTGCTTCTGGCTTCCTCCAGTGAAAAAAAGAAAAAGTCATTTTATCTGAATCAGGTGAGAAATATGTACAGATGAACCAAAACAGCTCTAAACAAATATGTTGGTGGATTTTGAGTACAACAGGAGATGGACTTTTCCACTGGAGGAAGCGTTATTATGGATTATAAACTCATATTTTGGCCAGAAGCGATGGTTTAAAGTTCAAATGTCTTAATGATGGATTTGTTTCGTCCAAACATGCAGCTTTTCTTTCCACAGGTTATTAACTGATGGACTGGAGTGGTGTGGATTGCTTGTGGATTATTGTGATGTTTTCATCAGCTGTTTGGACTCTCATTCTGACGGCACCCATTCACTGCAGAGCATCCATTAGTGAGCAAGTGATGGAATGCTACATTTCTCCAAATCTGATGAAGAAACAAACTCATCTACATCTCGGATGGCCTGAGGATGAGTAGATTTTCAACAAATTGTCATTTTTGGGTGAACTACTCCTTTAAAGTGTGTGTACTCGCATGCATTCAAAGTGTAAGGCAAATAATTTATTCATTTTTACTTAAAGGTTGCACCATGACAGATTTTCAGTTTTTAAATGTGCAGTCTAATTACATGAAATGTTATAACGTTTATTCCAAACCATAACTTAATGAAACTAGCATGAACACAAAAAGCTCATTTCTAAGAATTTGGCACGTTTATTAAACTCTTTTTACCGTACACACTTTTGTGTCATTGCATGTCAGACTTTTTGCGTTTTTAAGGAAACTAATAGCATGATTTCAGTGTTGCGTGATTTGCAGTGATGGAAAAAGTCTGTAAACCAGATTTATCATTTTGTCAACAGAAAAAAGGCAGCTGAAGAAGCCCTGTTAAGAAATGGAGCACATCTTTAACATGTTTTAATGCAGCGTGCCATAAAATAGGTTTGTCGCTCTACATCACAATGACTCAAATGAACTCTATTATGATCACAATATGGTAACTCACTCATTTCTCTCTCTCTTTGTTTCCCTCTTCAAACAGTACCATCAACACATGAACATAAACTTTCCACCATGACACTTAAATGTGCATGAATAGCCTAGATATATTCATCTCATGTTATACTGGTGTGCATATGTAGGTATTGAAGTAGCACTGAATGCACTCAGCATTAACTGAAAACTTTTGTATATGAAATACGTGAAGTCCGCAGCACATTTGAATGATTCTAGAGCATGACTTGGGTTGGCGTACCTGCAGGGGAGATGCATGCAAACCACGTTAAACATGCATTAACTGGTTCCTGAAACATGCCAGGTATTTCAAGTGCTGTTTTTCCGCTGTTATATTTAGTTCAGTCCTGACTGGTGAGTTTGAATAACTGAAAGCTGACTAGTTTCATGGACTGATAAGCCACAGACAAGTATCTTTTTCAAGCATTTATGGAAAACAGTCACGCCATTTTTTTATATGGGTTTTGGTTGTGTTTACTTTTACTTTTGGAGTTTCACAACAACTCTGCATTCAACCTTTTTTTATTTAGTTTAGTAGAGGCCTCATTCAACTGTCTGTACAGTATTTTTGAATAAAGATATTTGTTTTTTTGTCATATTTCAGACTGAATATCTGATTCAGTGCACTTCAACAATATTTGCTATATTTTGGCGATATGTTTCCACATGAAAAGGACTTTTCATCTGACATTTCCTAATTAAGGCATCTTTATCCATGTAAATTAATTAATTTCACATTAGTTTGCTATATACTTTTGTTTTAATGCCCCTAGTTTCTGTTATCAATATGTATATAATTGCATATTTGCAATAATAAACATCAAGTTCATGTTGAAATATTCCATTATAAATTACAAAGGTAAGTGCATTTTTGTACACTACATATATATATATATATATATATATATATATATATATATTCATTCAGAAATTGCACATACAGCACATACACGGAGACACACAACAATTCTGCTGTGGCTTTAAAGGTAATATGTTAGATAAGTGTTTCCTTGTATTTATTTCATCAGGTCTTTTGATTAGGGACTGTTTTTTGTAAAACGGTAGTTATCAATGCACATTTACAACAGTGTTTGCTTTTAATAAATAGTACTTTAATACAAAAAAATCACAAATAAAATGAAGAACCATTACAGATGATGGATTGCTGTTTAGAAACCACACAAACCTTGACCCCAATGGGAAATTACAGTAAAATAAAGTCATTATAATCTTATTTACCCCCTTTATCTGGATGCATGGTGTAAGACCATTTGCACTGCTGCACTTCTATGTATCTGTTTTATAATTAATGATTAACTTGATTAATTTATTGTTGTAATACATTTTCTCTTTTGCTGTGTAACAGGAAAGTTTGTTTTGTACTTCCAGACTGAAGGTATACGCTGTCTGCTCACTGTCATACAAGAAGCAGCTGATCATTTATTATGCAATGGCAGAAAGTATTTATATGTGATATTAATGTATAGCCACAGGTTTAAATGTAAAAACAAAATAACAACACAAAAACTAGGTGTTTAATATAACAAACTTGATTTTGAGGAGCAATATACTTCATGTCTATCACTGCATTGTTCACATGACTCATGGATCAGCTGACAATTCAAGCATGACCCACATGCTGCAGAGCATGCAATGGAGTTCAAACTGACACAACCAGTATTACTAGTTACACTGCATCACAGACATCTTTTGACTAGCTTTAGGTTGTTTTTCCACAGCAAAAGAAAATATTGCACAATTCATTGTTCAAATGAGCTTGTTTTTATAAAATCTTGCAGTATCATACTGATAGCTTATATCTTCCATTACGATGCATGAGTTGATTTTAACCTGCATTACAAACCTCATCTTTCGACAGGAAGTTACATTTTGTCTATTTACAACTCTAAAAACCTTCATGTTGCTTAGTTTAAAAGTGCAACTGGCAAGCACAATCAGTAACTGTTGTAAACATGTAAAATACTTTTAGAAGTAAGAAAGTGTATGGTCGCCTACACTCTTAAAAATAAAGTTTTTTTTTTTTTGTTTTTGTTTTTTGTGTGCAGTGGTTCCATAGAAGAACCTTTTTGGGAACCTTTCAGTGAAAACAAAACATTTTTTTCTAAAGTACCCTAAAAATCTAAATATAAAGAACTTTTGTGCAATCGAAAGGATGTTAAAGGTTCTAAATGGAACCATCAGTGACAATAAAGAACCTTAATTTAGTGCAGTTCAAACATCTCTCAGGTCTTTAACAGTTGTTACATCTCACAAAATATTCACAGTATGTACTGACTAAGTTAGCAATTTCACAGATCAGCGTCGTATGGTCTTCCGGTGTAGGATGTGTTGACTGATCCTCTGTCTCGGGGTTTGGCTCTTGGGAAGTCCAGGTCGTCGTCCAGTGACTTCTGCGAGTACGGCACGCTGCTTTCAGTGTTCCTGCTGAAGCTTCTCGGTACATTGACCCTCGGCAGAGGCGTCGGTCTGTCCGTTGCCGGCCGTTGTGTTGTGTAGGTTCGAGACTTTTCTCCACGGTTGCGTCCACCGCAGCAGGAGCAAATCCCGAGGAACATCACAAAACCCCCAAGGACCTCCATGATGCCTCCGATGTAGCCCAAAATGATGCAGTAGCCAACGCGAATGTCATCCGTTTTGGTAGGATCTCTTTTGACGGAGGTGGAATTGATGCTGGTGAGGATATGAGTGTACCACGCAATGGGAATGATGGTCAGGGCCCCGGAGCAGAAGATAAGGAGGCCACCCAAAGAAGCCAGTATCCATCTGGGTCTGTCCTTCCAGCATCTGACTCCAGGTGTTGCCACCGCAAGGCCGAGCACCGTCACAATCAACGACGCGACCATCATTCCTTTCGCGATCGGAATGATCTGGCTGTTAAAATAAATTTGGTCGTTGCCTTGCTGGCTGCACTGTTGGGATCTAGACGTTGTGGAGGTTCTGCAGATGTCCCAGATTCCCTGTTCCACCACCAGATCGGTAGGCTCGTTTGCCAGGTTGTGGATGGTGCGCCAGTTGGGCGCGACCGTGCTGGTCAGGTCCAGGATCCATCCGCAGGGGGCCAGGACCATGCCGAATATCAGGATCCCCGGAGTCCGCATGGCTAAGGGTTGAGCTGCTGTCCGCTTCTGAAGCGAGTCGAGTGTGTCTGGTGCTTAAGAAGAAACATACTGAAACTTGGAGGAGGTGGTTACGTATGATTAGCGTCTGAAGGGCGTGGTGTTGAATGTTTGGTTCAAACACAGACAAAACTGGTTTTCGATGCATGCCATGTTTCAGCTGAACCTGTAACACCAGTATGCAGGGCTAGGGGATAAATAGAAGAGACTGGGGCAAGTTGTCTCAAAGAAAAGTTGGAGAAACAATGAGGTTTCAAGTCAAAAGTTCATCTACATAAACTTTTGTTTAAAGGGGTCATATGATGTTGCTAAAAAGGACATTATTTTGTGTATTTGGTGTAATGAAATGTGTTTATGCGGTTTAAAGTTTAAAAAACACATTATTTTCCACATACTGTAAGTTGTCTATGTTGGATTCAGTCACCTAGTCCAAAATAAAATTTCACACACATATGCCTTTTCATTTCATTCATACAGTTCATTCATTTAGTTGATAATTGGGCCAAATAATGTTACAATATACATTTTTGCGGTTTAATTTTTTTCATGTTTTTGGTTTGTTTGATTGTTTCGCAACTGCTTTACAGTTTACATTATCCTGAAAGCCAACACATGGTCAGTAGTTATAGATGTTATAATAATAATACATTGTATCATGCTGATAAGTTACTATATTACTTATTGTACATTCAAATATTATAGAATATAGGTTCATAAATAAAGAAAAAATGTCAAGTATAATGTAAAATCGCATTCAGTAAAAAGAGGATACCATTTATTATTGGAACGCATAAAATTGTACTCAAAATGAACAGTTTGTAAACTTATTTTTTATTATATTAATGCAGGTAAACATATGAGGATATTGTTCATCTATCACACTCATAAACATACAGAAAAATCAACAGCCTTCGATCATTTGCCCTAAATTTGATGGGTGGACTTCAATTACGACATTACCGTTCACAAAAACATCCACAGAGATATTCTGCATATCGTTCTGTCTATCGTAAACACCAGTGACAGACATTTCTGCAAACATTCAAAGCCTATTCTGTGAGCAGCGGTTGTGCAAAGATTAGCTTCCTTCAGAAGAATGTATCTGCTTTTTGTACTTGGTATAACTGTACAAACTCGAGAGGTTCCTGATAAGATACGTATTTACACATTAGTAGGCTACACTCTTAAAAATAAAGGTGCTTCAAAAGGTTCTTCAAGCGATGCCATAGAAGAACCATTTTTGGTTCCACAAAGAACCATTCAGTCAAAGGTTCTTTAAAGAACCATCTCCTTCTTACCTTTTTATAATCTGAAGAACCTTCTTTCGCCACAAAGAACCTTTTGTGAAACAGATGTTCAGACTTCAGATGTTAAAGGTTCTTTATGGAACCATTTAGACAAAAAGGTTCTTCTATGGCATCGTGAAGCACCTTCATTTTTAAGAGTGTACTACAAAAAGACATCGAAGGTAGGCCTACTGCCACTGCAATGATAAGGGCCTCACAATATAAAGTGCAATGTACAAAACCAAACTAGTGCTCTTCAATAGAACTTCAAAACCTTACCAGGTACAATATTTATGATGTTATCCATCGTTTTCGCTAAAATACTATAGCTGACATGACCGATAACATCCATGATAATACAGGTGGTAAAACAATAGGTCACATGATGAATTACAGTTCATCAAAATAGCCTTTCCGTGAACCACGGCTGATAAAAACATACAGACAGTAGGCCTACACACACACACACACTAAAATAATGTTTAACATGAACTAAACATCCTAAAATGTAACTTAAAACACATGACTTGCAATAAAAATATGTGTAAACAACTATATAAAATTTAGGCCACATCCTTTTACGGTTTTCACTGTAAATTTTACAGTGACTATTACTTCATTGTAAAATATAAGGCACTTACATTGTAAATTTAAATGTTAAGGTTAGTCTACCTGAAAAAAAAATCTTGCAAACTTATTGTCTCAGAAAAATCTGGTTAGTTGCTTAAAAAGTTGCTCAAAATCCCAATGTATGAAAACTTTAATATACTAAGTAAACTTATTTTCTGAAGCAACAAGTCTTTCTAAGTTAACAAATTAAGGTTTACAGTGTACAAAATACATATTTTCCAAAATATTTTACATTAACCTCTTAACTGTCACCCCCATTTTTGAATATGGATGTGAAAGTTCACTATCCAAACTTATAATTTATGAACGAATGCATTTTTAATATGGCTTTCCTTGGTAAAGCAATGTCAGATTTTAAAATGGTTTTCACATGATGAATTTTTAGGTTTTAAGCTTTCAATTGATATCTAATTTATGATGATGATGATAAGAAAAAAAAACTTTTTGTGACAAAGGTCAGAACTCCTGTCAAGATGTAGATTTTTGAGGAGCACTCTTGTCATAAATTAATCTATTACCGTTCCTACATAATTTGTAACAAAAAACTGGTAAAATATCTATTTCGGAGACTTTTCCAACGATATAGGCTATAGTTTGTCATGATTAGGATTTAATTGTAATATAGTGAAGTAAACTTAGGCTTCCTCTGAGGGGACAGGTGACAGTTAAGAGGTTAAAAATGTCTTAATAAATCTAATAGGGATAACCACTAAACAGAACGGTCATTAAAAAGAGAAACTAGCTGATTTCATCTGATCGACAATCGCGATTTTTACGCGGTAAGCGACGGTTATCATGGTGATTTTCGTAAGGTTTCTTGCGTTCAGTTTGTTCACAAGATCAAAAGTTAGTTCTTTCACAAATCTGTGTCGTAAGGTCGTGCTTCATAAGCAGTGCTAGTCGCTGGTCTGCTGTCCTGTTGTCTCTTGGCCCGTGCGAAGTCCACCTCGCTTTGTTTGGAGTAATACGGGACGCTGCTGCCGCTGCTGACGCTGGGCACCGTGTCTCTGCGCGGCGGAGAGGGATCGCGCTTCTGACCGCTGCAGCGCCGGCACAAACCGATGGACATCACCAGCCCACCGAGGACCTCCATGATCCCGCCGATGAAGCCCAGCACCAGGCAGTATCCCACACGAACATCGGTGGATGCGGAGAAGATGGAGGTCATGGTGTGAGTGTACCACGCCACTGGGATGATGGTGAGGACCCCTGAGATGAAGATGAGGAGACCTCCGACCCCAGCGACCGTCCAGAGCGGTTTCTCAGTCCAGCATCGGACTCCGACTGCTGCCACGCCGATGGCAATGACATTGAGAATGAGCGACGACAGCATCAGACCTCTGGCGATCTGGATGATCTGGGCGCTGAAGTACTGCGTGTCCTGCTGGTTGCACAGAATATCCCGGGACGATGTGAAAGTCCTGCAGATGTCCCATAATCCTTGCTGGAGGACCAGGTCGCTGGGTTCCCCCGGGATGTTGTTGATCGTGCGCCAGGCTGGTGCCACGGTGCTGGTCAGCTCCAGGATCCAGCCGCAAGGCGCGAGCACCAACCCAAAAATAAAAATCCCTGGAGTTCGCATGATGATGGATTCGGGTCACAAAAATAGCCTTGCTGGCAATGGATGGATTTGTTTCCGGTTGTTTAAAACGTAGCTGGGCGGCAGAAACTTCTCGTGGGAGGATCCCGTAAAATCTGGCTATTGTTGAACGTCACGTGACTGTCTGCGCTTGTCAACATCAAAACCGCTCCAGGTTTCGACAACCTGTCCTAGGCGCACCTGTGGAGCCCCGCCCACTGAGTGTTACATCACGCGCGGCACGAAAGATTCAGGAGAGACTCTGGTGCTGATGGTGATCATTTGTTCATAGAGTACTATTTGAAAGTTTAATTGGAATAGGCTTTCAATTTCATTTTATATAGCCTACTGTTTTTATATATGGTGGGTTTTTTTTTCTTCTACTCAACTTTTTAAAATAAACAAGACCCAATATATTTTTGTGTATGGAGGGCCAAATTACTCAAAATTAAATCATGAAATAAATGCTGAAATATATAAATAAATCGTTAAATACATAATTAAATAACTAAATACATAAATGCATAAATAAATAAATATCCATTCATTCATTCATTCTTTCAATCATTTATTTATTTATTTGTTTGTTTGTTTAAATAATTAATTTTTATTTAATTTCATTTTCAGGGTTACGTACTGACAACCGTAATCCTGAAAATGAAATGTGAAGGAAATGAATGAATAAATGAATGATTTATTTATTTATAATGCATTTATGTATTTAATTATTTAAATATGTATTTAATGATTTAATTATGTATTTAATGATTTATTTACATATTTCAACATTTATTTAATGATTTAATTTTGAGTAATTTGGTCCTCCATATTTTTGTGATTTTTTTTCCTTTTATTGTTGATTTCACTTTTCATTTATGTCATTTATTTTAACACATAGAACCTTTATTTTTAATTTGAGGGAAACTATACATTTTGTACATTTTTAAGAATAAAAAGGAAATGAAAAGGAAAAGGAGGGAAACTATAGTTTTAATCATTATAATATGTTATTGTTTTGAACATTTTGTACATTTTTAAGAATAAAAAGGAAATGAAAAGGAAAAGGGGAAAAAATAATATATAGATATTATATTGGTTAAGTTTAAACAACAAATTGAAATAACTGTGTTAGGTTGTGTTCTTTGGGTTATTTTTAATCTCTTTTATCTTTTTTTAAATCCCTTTTCTTTTAGTCTTCTGAATTTCTGTTATCTAAAAAGTTTAGTGATATGACTCATTATAATTTATTTAAATCATTGTCTCATTAACATTTAGTTAAACTTGATGTAGCACTAAAAATCAAAGTAGCAAATCAAATTATTATTAAAAGATTATTGCAGAATGTTTTTACAAGAAAATACTATTTCAGTCTTTATTGATCACATTTAATTCAATGTGTTAATTAATAATTAGTGCTGTCAAACGATGTGTGTGTGTATTTATATATAATCTGTATGCACACATATATTATGTAAACAAAAACTTTTTTTTTTGGATGCGATTAATCGCGATTAATCGTTTGACAGCACTACTAATAATTAATTATATAAAAACTATATAGACATATAGTGGGGGGGGGTTACAACAAGCTCAAACTAATTCCAAATATTAATAAAAAATTATTAGAGTAATGATAGGCTACTAAAATAAGACTGCTCTAGAATGCTTTAAGTGTAGCATTCTGAATGTTCTGGCACGTTGTCATTTTCTGTACAGGTTGTTGCATCATTTTGGAGACGGAAATGCGCACTCGAAACCACGAAAGCATGTTTGAAATGACATCCTGACATACAGTAACAGTCACTCTGAAACTACAGCCGTTCCCTGAACACGCCTCTAAAGCATGAAAGAAGGTACTGCTTTCTGTTTAGACTGTTCTATTATTCCTTCCTGTTTCACCACAGTTAACGACTTATCTGTTGACAGAATAGCCTAAATGCACTTCTTTCCCTGCCCAAAATACTGGCTTAAACCAGTCTAAGTTGGTTTGTTGTTCCTGGCTTGTCTAAGATAGTTTATCCGGTTACCCAGCCTAGCCAACCGGCGCTAAACTGATTAAGCTGAAGGCCAAGAGCAGAGGAAACATATTTTCCAACTTAGACCAGCAAACCACCTCATGCTGGTCTTTTCAGCAGGTTACTTTCTTGCTGTTTTGTACAATTATGTTCATCACCATAATGCATTTGTGAGTTGCAAAACAAAGTCAACACGGCCTTTGTTCCTACTGTGCTCCACCTATATGACTCTCTACACATATTGTGACATATTTTGACAGATCATCGTGGAATGTGGTTTGGAATGACGATAAACCTGACTAAGTAGTCTCAGCATATGTAGCCTAATGATGATACCACAAGAAGACCGCATCTCGTTTTAGCCTGCAGTTGTGCCTAATCCTGACAATTAACAATAATCACGATGTTATTATTATACCCAGTGATTGATATTAATATCCGACACCTTTAACATTCTTATGACAGTTTCAATGATATAGGCTAGTCTAATGTTAGGCTTTATTGAGAGAAAAAAAAAACATTTCCTTTTAAGAACTATGATAATTTACTCTGAAATTAGCCTACTACACAAATAGGCTGTAATTTTTCGGCCTCTCTGTTGTATTTATCCATGATTTTGTTTTCCACCTGTCATTTCAGATCTTCGTATTAATACAATTCATTCTGTTAAAGGGATAGTTCACCCAAAAATGAAAATGTGATGTTTATCTGCTTACCCCCAGGGCATCCAAGATGTAGGTGACTTTGTTTCTTCAGTAGAACACATATGATGATTTTTAAGTCCAGCCGTTGCAGTCTATCAGTCGTATAATGCATGGCAATGGTAACAAACGGATGCCATGCGCGCGCTCAAAGACAGTTGGAAATAGTGGTGTATTAGAGGTAAAAAATTATATAAATACTGTTCGGTTTCTGGCACAAACCGATCGTTTCGTGTCTTAGGACATCAATGTGTCGTCACGAGCCGCAGGGTTTAATTGGGATTTGTCTGTGCATGTTTTTTTTACTCTCATAGATTTTGTTACCATTGCCATGCATTATACGACTGATAGACTGCAACGGTTAAAGTTAAAAATCATCAAATGTGTTCTACTGAAGAAACAAAGTCACCTACATCTTGGATGCCCTGGGGGTAAGCAGATAAACATAAAATTTTCATTTTTGGGTGAACTATCCCTTTAACAGAATGTTTCTCTGAATTTTCACTTCGGTGCATTACCTTAGATTTGCTTCCACCTAGTGGTTAGTTTTAGTCATAACACCCTTTACACACAGTCTCTTACGTTTACATATTATACTTCGTTAATGTTTATATTTGGTCCCCTACCAACATTTGTGTATTTTAATAACACCATCTGCCTAGAAAGCACATTTGCCGTCTCTGTATTAGCTCATCTTATTATGAGGTCACAGTGGACCGGAGGCGTGCTCTCGACCTGCGCGTGGGAATTTCCTTCTGGTCACTCACATGTGTTACAGTGCGATAGAGAAACTGTTCAACAGTCGCTACAAGCAGAAAGAGGAAGGAACATGAAGATGCACTTTTCAACGCTGGTGATATTAGCAGGTATGTTAAAATGGTTTTTAGACACAAATTCAAGCCTATGTATTTTCTGTTATAGCTGCTTATTATTTATGTTATGAACAATAAACCTGCTCATATCCATCCAAATTGTTTAATAGGCCTCTAAATTTAAATTACACTGCTTCTGCAGTTGTAGTTATATTTATATGTGACGTGTAATAATGTGTAATATTAAAAAGTACACTAACAATTCATTCAAAACACTTGTGCGACTAAAATGCTTTGACGACCATGTACAGTATGTGTAACTCATGAATACGTGTTACTTTAGTGTTTGTAAAGCGTAATAAAGGTAAAAGCTACAAATGAATGAACTAACGTGTAACTATTAAACATTAAGGTACTTTACAAAAGCGTTTCCTGATTTAAGAAACAGATTCAGTTTTATGCTGCAGGTGTGTTTTGTTAACACTAGTTCAAAAATGCATTCACTAACCTATCAATATATTGTGCGCGAGTTAATATAGACTTCTTGTGGCTTGTTTGTGTGTGTGTGACAGGTTGGATTGTATTTGGAGGCAGCACAGAGAGCACTGCAGCAACAGCAACTACAGTTGCGACTACATTTACCTCAGATGTAGCGACATCACCTTCACTAACGCACACAACATCAGCAGATTCCACTCAGACACAACCAACGACTGAATCTGTCTCCACGATCCACAATACAAATGAAACAGCAACTGAGTCCCCACAAAATGTGAGCATGAGCACTAGGAGCAGCTCCACACCTGCCCAGACAACATCAAATACAACCTCTGACTATAACGCTACCTCTCCAGCGACGGAGCTCACCAGCGCAGCCAACGCGTCGACCACAGTCACGTCGGGTTTGGTGACTGAAACTCTGAAAACATCCTCCTCACAGAGCCATACCTCAGAGAAGACAACTATGGGAAGCACAAAACCTGTTGTTATTACTGCTGCCAAAAGCACAACTACAACGATCATCTCTACGACTAAAACGGTGCCCACTACTTCTAAAGTGTTAACATCACCAACAAAAACAGCAGCAACAACAAGAACAACAACAACAACAGCAGCAACAACAAGAACAACAACAACAGTTGCAGCTACAACCACAAAACCGGTAACAACCAAACTCCCAGATTCTGTTGACCAAGAAAAGAAGGACCCAGAGGCCCTGAGCTCAGGTATGAGTGCATTCTCTTTTTTTTTGGAAATGTAAGTAAATATTTCATTTTATTTCAAAGAATATTATATTTTAATACAGTGTGTTTCATGCGACTGTTGGCCTGTTTATATATAGGTTAAATAAGCATAACCTTTTGATTGTTATTTGACCTTCTGCTCCAGATCTCAAGTAGGTCAAGGTGTATGTATTTTATTTCCTAATGAGGCTTTATATATTGTTGCCTATGTAGGGTCAGTTCTGGTAAATTTGGCCACTTTATACAACCTATTTTATTGAGGTTAACCACTTCAGTATTTTCCAAAGCATAG